GAATTCCAAGAAATATTAGGGAGAAAGTAAGGTTTTCCCGAAACCCCCAGATTTTTTGGAAAGTGGAAGATTTAACTGGCTTTGTGAGGCCGATGGCGCATGTGAGTGGTCATTCAGTGTGTTGAGACGTATAACAAAACCTTGCTTGCGTTCAAGCATATGGGAGACAATGGCCGTCTCACACTGCATGCTGCTTCATGACCACAAGGAACGGTCACTGAAACTACTGCCGATTGACTCTGTGATGAGGGCAGGACACTATAAGAAAGGCGCAGAGTGCTTGGGAGAATTTTGTGCAAAAAATTGTTGGACAAAACTATGTCCTAAGGCTAAGGAAAGATAAAACCAATTCGTAGTAAAACGTTCCGTCAAGGCATGGATCGTGGAAGCAGATAATACTTATGTAATGATCAAGCCTTGCATTATATTATTTCAGTACAGGATGCGGAGGTTTCAAAAATCTAACACCCACATTTACAGAATTTTGTCGCTATTAATATCGCTATTCATATCATACAAGTTTCCCTCTGCCGTTTTATTCTCCTTCAGTATTTAGATAGCATGATATGATAGCGTCCGGGCGGCCAAGCCGAACCGGGCCAAGTTCCGAGCTGCGCTTCCAGCCGAGCGCCGGCCGAGCCGAGGCGGGCGGGCCAACACCAGGCCCTACTGGTGACGTCACGCCTTCTGCCTCCCTGCACGCCGCTGCATGACAGTACGGGCAATGACACATTTGACAAATCATTCTTATTAATTTTAGTTATGTGAAATGTTCAAAGTTTCAGTTACAAATGTATCATCTGCTAAAAATTGTGTGCAAAAAAAAAAAACTCCCCCCCCCCCTACCGAAAAACACTTCCGACGGCCCTGTCAAACGCAACTACTGTCGTTAATTTTTCGTTATTTTGAAGTGAAATTTGTCGTTCTTTCGTCGTTAAATTGTAGTTTGAAAAACGACAAATCTACGTCAATTTTACTGGGTTTCGCTCTACACGGGTAGTCGGCATCAGGCTTTGGTTTCTTGGCGGAGGACCACATCTTACCTGCGCCAGGGCAGGCCAGGATTGAGGGGGGAGGGGGGCGATCGCCTTCCCCCATGTCGTCTCTAGAGAGCCGCCTGAAAGGTAGGCAATTTGCGCCACAAAACCCCTGTATGTAGGCAACCGACAGTGCATCGCCCCCCCTGTCAGCCGGACCTTATTCCGCCCCTGCGCCAGGGACAAACCCTTTCCGACCTCCAGCGTGAA